GTTGGCCTGCCGCCTGGAGATCAGAAAAGATCTTTATGGTGGACACGAGAGGTACAACTGGCAGTTAAAGGGAAGAAAGCAGCGTTCAAGAAATGGCTTGGGAACAAGGAGCCATCTACACGCGTGCAATATGGCGAGGCGCGCAAGGCGGTAGCCATAGCATTGGCAAAAGCCAAGGCTGATTCCTGGGAGAAGTTCGGTGAAGTGTTGGAGTCGAATTTGCACATGACAAACAAAGTTATCTGGCAGACCCTCCGCCAGCTCCTGGAGAACTTCGGAGTGGACCCACTGGTTCTCCAGACTGAGATCTCACAGCTGCGATGGCTTGGGTATGTGTTGGGAATGCCTCCAAAAGGGAAGGTTAAGCAAGTTTTTCTTGCAAATCCCACCGGTACATGGCCCAAGGCGGCCAAGGTTAACCTGGTGCAAATATATGGAAGCTGTCTGTCCCAGACTCTGGCACAGGATCGGAAACTTTGGAAGCTCTGTCTGTCGCGTCTGCCTCCGAGACTCGGAAGGAGAAATGGCGATGCAAGATGAAGATGAAACATATGAATGGCATAGTAGCATAATTTTGATTTGAAATTCTGATTCATATGCCTACTATCCTGTTTTGATGAGAATTTTAAAAATGATGTGATGGTTCAGCCCTATCAAGGTAACACCTATTCTGGATTTTCCGATTGAATAATACGAATTTGTAAACGTATGTGCAGCACAATGGTTGGTTTTCGTTTTAGTAGCAAACCATGGGCATAATACTGGGTTGCGCAAAGCAACCTCCATGACGTGATTATTCAGGATAGCGCCATTTCTAATAGCATCGCCATAAAATTTGCGATGACGTCGCTTATGAAGAAAAGAATTAGTTGGAAAATACACCTGCTGTATATTTGAATCGCCACTTAATGAGACGTGTCATACTGTACTTTTACTGTGCTTGGAAAAATGCTAACTGCATGAGCTTATGATGCTTAAATATGCATCCGATTGTTTCGACATGTTAAAAAACATGCAAACAATTTATTTGAGTTCAGTAAACTATCTAGTGATTAACGCAATGTCCTAAACATGAATTTTCGAAGGATCAG